TACATAGCTAGGTCAAATTCATTCGCTGCATGGAGGAGAATTCTAGTGGCTGGCTCCTCTGATTGGTAGTTTTCAGTGGTTTCTCTGATCAACATCAGAATAATATCTGAGCAGTTCCCTCACAAACGGGCCACGGACCGCGCGTAATCTTTCTTCCTTGCCCTATGCACTCTTTACACACTTTCATTTTCCATGTACACTTCTACACTTGGCGGAAGACCAGAAGGATTCAGAGCTGGGGGAGATTCCTGGAGGGAAAATCCCCGCAAGGCGCCGTGTAGGTCGGCGCCGGATTCAACCAATCAGCAGGGAGGGACATCGCCACTTCCTGGCATAAAATATTCTCTGTACTAACATGACTACTGACCATACCAGTTGACGTCCCGGGAAACGCTGACCGAAACTAAACACATGGACCCTTAATAGAAAAATCACGGGTGATAAAAATGAATACGAATCATATGAGTTACAATTTGAAGATTAAGTATTAAAATATTTTATACATTTTTCAACAAATGAAATTAAATATATATTTGTATATTGAGGCGGGAGCTTTAAGCCTGAGCTTCGCCTGTTTACGCGTTAGTCCAACCCACCTTGCAGCCCAGCTCCGCTCCCCTTTTCATTAAACGTGGCTTCCAGCTGTCCGTCACCTTACTATACGGGTGCGTTTACGGTACGGTGTTGTGTGTAGGTTTACGAACTACGCGTAACAACGCCTGAACAACACACGCCCGGCTATCAACGGCACTGCAGTGATTTGAAGAACGGATTGCGCCTTCACTTCAAGTTGTACAGGAACGGGAAGTAAAGCCATCAGTTTGATGTAAATAGAGATGTAAAATGAAATTTAGTGGCTATTTGCACTGACACTACTAACTTTACGATAAACGGATTACAAACACTTCGCAATTTCGTCTAAATAAATTGCGTAATACTATATAAACAAATCGCTTGAAGTGAAATCGCCTAGGCTATAATTACACCATTACAGTTATTTGGCAGTTTCTGGTCAATTATGAAATTGGTCACTTTTCCTTTTCTCAGAAAAAAAGTTAACATCCGAAACAATTGTAATCGTGTAACTTAAGACAGGTGATTTATAATATTGTAACATTGCAATGTAGTATTAAATATTATGTTTGAAAACACTAAGTCACGAGAATTTTTTAAAATCTCAACTGCAAGTCTTCGAGAACTTTATTGTTATTGTTTTCTTTGCCATTCAACGTCTATTGGTAAAAATCCTAAAAAAGACAATCTATTTATTAAACTCGAAAACTAGTGTTTACATAACTGAGATATTGCTATACAAAACATCCCAGATAGGAAATTCAGAGGTGCGTAAGATCGGCCATAAAACATTGTGCCAGCCTACTTGGATGTCAATCGCCTGCGGAGGTTGCGATAATGCGCGCCTTCCTTTCTCAATGACCCTCCTCGAAGTCGAGCATTGACTCCACATCACGTGATACATTTCTTGTAATCTTTACTTTCCCGCCTTACAATGTACTTACGTACCAAAGAGAAAGTTCTGTAACGCTTCGGTAAACAAGTTTGACAGAAAAAACTTATTGTGGGGCCCTGGTATCAAACACGATTTATTCATTTTTCGTTACCAGGACCTGGCAATATGAGTGTGTGTCAAAACTTCGCCCTTTTCCGATGCACGATTACAATACCTTTTCTCACGTACGCAAGGGCGAGAAAGAAAATAGTGGTTACATTGTGTTTACAAATGGAAGAAACATCTTACCTCTCAGGCGAGACCGTCACTATGCCCTACAAAATCTTATCATTGTTCTCACTGCGACAAAGCCCACTGAAAATAAACACGATCATGTTTTCCTTCAACTTACATTTTAGGACGGAGTCTTCCTTTCTGTTTGAACATAAAGTGCATTAACGGAGAGTGCAATCCACGTCGCTTTTGATCGGAACACGAAAGTCTAACATTTTCACTTTTCATACCTTTCGGCAATTCCCAGAGAGAAAAACACCAACTCCAAAACAAGCCATTTCCATCATTGACAACACCCTATGTAATGGGCGTGATTTAAAAATTAAAAGCGGGCAATTGTCTCCCTCAAGGAATCATCAGAACCCGAAGCCATAGTATAGGACGGCTCCAGAAAGAAAATAATTGGAAAAATACTTCCATCGATATCTGCTCCATTACAAGTACTTCTGGATTACGCTTTGATTAGCCACCTCTACCGACGAAAAGGGAGTTGAAATTCTATGTTCAGCTCTTCCAGAATTCTCGCGTAGCAACGAATATAATTATATCTGATATTTAATTTTCTCAAATGCCTTTCAGTTTTGTTTTTTTGTTTATTTTTCATGTAACGAGCGGAAGCACCAAGTTAAGGGAACATCCGAATTGTCCTCCAGAGACATTCCATCTTCCTAATCCCAAGAAACTTTTGGAATGGACGCCGATACTAACGATTTCAGTCAAATGCTAACCCGGATGTGTCTGGAGGGCTGACAACCGCCCTGGACCAATGGTCCTAGATATAGAGGAGTTTCTCTAAGAAGGGATCACTTTGACGGCTCGGGAAACAAATGAACGACATGCAGGGAGATGGCATTGCAAGAGATAGTGAAACCATTTACAAATTAGCTGTCAACGAACGCACTGACCAAAACAGTGCAGGGTCCCAACTTGCAATTACGTTGCCCGCAGTGGCTGTCAAAGCGGTCCCTTCTTATAGTAATTTCTCTATGCCAAACCACCACTCTATGCCTATGCCACCAGCAAAACTGGTGGATCGCTTCTACAGTTGCACAAAATATTTAAGAAAGGGCGAATTGACAAATTGTTTAATTTTAAAATGGAATGCTAATCTAAACTAAGGCAAGTACGAACACGTTTGGTATATGGGGAAGTGAATAGGCTGGTAACCCAAGTGCAGCCATATCCGTCTTTTCCATTGACAGAAGCGGCGAAGGCGTGGGCGCGGCGCAGAGCGGCGCGAGGCTGCGGCGGCGGCAGCTGGCCCGGGAGGCAGCCCGTTCGCCCCGGGGCTGCCGCCGCCGCCGCCTCCGCCCCCGGCCCCGCGCCAGATGTGGGTCACTGGAGTGACACATCGCCACCACCCTATTCACGAACCCTTGCTCGCACCATTATTTCATTCGCGTTGACGACATGCAATCAATCACACAGCGGCGCGACACGGCCGGTCACGCCGCCCGCAATGCACGAAGCAAACCGTGCAGCGAGAAGAAGAGCGTCAAGGGCGTTAGTTCGAAGGTGAGAACAGATGGAGTCTACCGGTGCGAGTTAGTTAGTCGAGAGGAAACCAAGCGACGAAGAAAGCACCAACGGTTAGCGAGAGAGGAGCTGGGGGACTCACCCGCCTCCAGGCCTGGCAGCACGTCCGTCTCCCCGGCCAGCAGCACGCAGCGCGGGACGGGCCGGTGGCGCATGAGGCACTTGACGGCCACCCTCCACTTCTGCGCCTCGCGCATATTGTCGTCGTACTTGTCGAAGGAGCGGAAGCGCAGCGTGATGGTCATACGCTCGCGCCGCTGGCCCTTCATCTTGTATTTCTTGAGCACGTACGCGTAGATGTACAAGTACGCACTAATGTCACTCTCATCTTGCTCACCCGAATTCTCCTCCACCACCCGCAACCCGTTCCTGCGTATCGCACTGGGATGACACACACACGATGCACCAGTCTTGCGTTTACTTCGCATGCACCGGCATCCTACGATGTCGTTGATGCGTATCGTTTCGATTTTCGTGTTTCCGTTGCTTTCTTTCTGCAAGCTCAAGCCCTTTTCTGTCAGCTTCACTCGGTATACCGTGTTCTTTTTCGAGAGGATGTAGAATGTCTCTTCAAGCACCGGGCCGACGCGCACTGCACCACCTTCCATCTTTCATACTCCGACTCCCACTGTCGCACTGTCGAGGCACGGGCCGCACCGACTGCTGGAGGACGCGCCACGGTAAACACAGAGCGTTGATCACGCCTGCTGGCCCGCCCCGCGCCCGCGAGGTTACTAGCGCTACCTGTGAGGCGAATTTGCAACCGAAGGGAGACAGTAGAATCACTGGCGCTCTGTTCAATCTTCACCGTTTTCATCAGGTGGAATACGTTTTTATTTGTTTTATTTATTATTTGTTTTTGTTATTATTATTATTAAAATGATATGAACGCGTCTAAAAATTCTCACATCGAGAACACAAATAATTTTTAAACATAAATACCATTACGCCTTCTATGCCTCATCAAATTTCAATCTCAATGTTCATTGACATATTCTTTTATTTCTTTTTAAAGAAATTAATCCGAGGAATCAATTTTCTCTACTGAATTATTCTTGAATTCACACTGAACTTTTTTATTAAAATTCGCACATACAAATAGGAATCACTGAGATGTTAACCATGATGGAATGTCTTTTCATCATGAAAGTCTTTCTTATTAGATTCTCATGAGCATGATACTACTACGGAAGAATATTCTTCATGATATTACCTCAATAAGAGAGTATGGAGAGTGATGCAATTTCTTGTATTGAAGATACGACATTTTCAGATGAAAAGTACTCACAATTTCTGACTGCAATTTTTTCACATACAACTTGATTGGTCACTTATTTTGGGAATAAGTGGACTGAAGATTCGTTCACTCACAATATATAACTTAAGGACAATAAATAAATTATTAGTGATATCTTTCGATGTTCATAAATGCCAGAATACAAATGTATTGTTGTGTCGTGATCCCTCCACTGCCTAAATTCTATGTTCAAATAAGAACATCAGCTAAAAAAATAATACGGAGCCATGCTCATTAACTTAAGAAACCGTAGTGTTAATAACCTTAACATAGAAAGAGTTTTAGGAATTGGAATGAAGCTAATTTCAAAAAAAAATGTTAAACGTTTTTAAAACATCTTCTTATACGATCTTCGCGCCATCTCCTTGTGAAAGGGAAAAGTTTGCATTTCGTTTACTTCTCCTGAAGATGTCACTCCAGTTCCTAACGTGGCTGAAAAACCTTGAAGTTGTTGCATTGTTACATTGCCTGTCAAAGTTTTGTTACTAGGTTCATGTACAGTGAAAATTCGAGATTGGATGTGTTCTCTCGCAAATATTTTATGAATAATGAGGTACTCTATCTCCAGAAATTGTCGATGTTATGTCATTAAGTTATGAAAACATTATTAATACCCCAGTATATAATTCTATGCTTCTTTGGATGAGACGCTGTATTCATTTCATTGAATTGTAAGTCTCCAAGTAAAATCTAGAAGTTGAAATAGAGGAATCAAGTTGAGTATTTTTCCGAATTGAATAACTCCAATATTTTTATTAGGAGTGAAAAGTGATATTTTGTTATCCAGGGAAGCTTTGTCTAATTTTCTGGCCTTTCCGTCGTGTGATCAAGTTGTGAAGGCATAGGTGTTATGTGATTTTATATTTCTAATGTCGGTTTCAGGATGATGATTATACTAGCAAAATGCGTGATAAATTGCAATGGCTGATTTACACGGGAGTGTCACAGCAGTAGAATGGTTTCCATGTGTTAATTCTATTTCCTATGGTCTTAAACATGGCCCTGAAGCAAACGGTATGATTCGAGAGGCAACAATAGGGTCACCTAGTCGACCCAAAGATGGTAAACCTCCTTACAGGTAATGGGGATGTTTACTTCTACTTTATTTAAGAAAATTTTTTGTCGTCTGATTTTACCCAGCAAACAGTTTATGTAGTAGGTAATGGAGCTACATTTAATGTATTATACACACTTTATTTTTTGCTGTTTTTACCTGTGAATTTTAGTGTAACTTATAAAGGAAACTATTGATGTTCTGTAGGTAATTTTGAAAGTTAGAGTCACACGGTATAGTTTACTTAAAATATTGCAAAATTTCATATTCTCAATGTCTAGCAGTAATTATCCCTTCACCTATATGTCATATTTTTATACCATGTTTTAATTTTGAGTGTTACTGGAAGTTATTTGAATCCATATCACTGGTCAGTCATTTCTAAAGAACATTTCATACCTTTGCCAATGAAGGTAAATAGTTATTTTGCTGGTGTATTTTATAAATCTTGAGTGTTTTTTTGGATATTACCTCATTTGTAGTAGACAGCACAAATTTATCATTTAATGATGAAACATTTTGCTAAAGAACAAACATCTTATTATAGTGACATTGAAAGTAAGAGAACAAAGGAAATAGTAATGAATTGAAAAATGTAATTAAACTGTTGTGTTATCATATTTTAGCTATGCCAGCCTTATACGTTTGGCAATTAGTAATGCTCCAAAAGGAAAAATGACATTATCAGAAATCTATCAATACATTATTCAACAATTTCCTTATTATAGAGATGCTGGCACAGGATGGAAGGTTTGTGAGCTATGAAGCTGACATATATTTATATATAATTTACTTGTACGACTATGTTACTTAAAATTTGTTTTCTTACAGAATTCTATTCGTCACAATTTATCGCTTAATAAATGTTTCACAAAGGTAGCACGATCAAAAGATGATCCAGGAAAAGGAAGTTACTGGAGTATTGATTATACATCAAGTCAGGATGAAGGTTTCAACAAAAAGAAGAAACCAGTACAGCTCTTCAGAGTAAGTTGAGTGCCTAAACCCTAGTCTTTATCCCTCCACTGGACGAGCTTTGAATCATACAGGCAAACAGAATATTCCAGATACCATTTTATTATAGGAGTGTACTAATGTTTTATTCTGTCACTTTTGTATAAGTGCTTATAATTTGCTTCTACATCACTGAATTCTTGCCCTTCTAAAAGACTATTCTATTCCCTTCTAAGAGGGCTATGTGCTCATCAATTAAGCTTTCTTATCAATCATTTTCTTTCTTAGAGCTGAAGTGGCGCATGAACCTAAAAATCTGTGTTCCATTACTTAACAATATAAGAAATGTGATTTTTGGTTCCTATAGACAGATAAGCATATAAATAACATTCTCTTGATTGTTACATGAAATTCAAGATTACAAACCATTGGTTCTGGTCAAAACAGCATACAATGTTCTCCGAAAACTTTATGCCTAAGTTATAAAATAACTGAAATAAATATTCATTGTTGTTTATGGACCTAAGTTAATTAAATATCACATGCAGACACCTTAAAAGAAAAGCAATAAGGCCTCATAAGAGCAGACATAAAACGGACACAGTTTTCGAAATTTATTGTAAATGACAGTAAAAAGAGCCCACTCACCAACAAAAGTTGATTGCCCAGATTAATGTTGTTTATTAAGTGTTAATGTACAAAAATGAAACTTCCATTTTGATTATGTTATCTTTCAGTAATATGTAATTACTTCTTGTTCAGGCTTCTCCTTACAGCCCAGAGTGTAGTAGCAACAGTAGCGATTATAGCTGCGCCTTTACTTCAGTTAGGTCAAAAGTGGCAGCTGATTGGCCATGCTCTGCAGGTGTCAGTGGACCAAAGACTACCTCACCACAAGGTAATATTTTATTATAATGTAAAGAATGTACATAGGAGTCATCCATAAATTAAGTAACTTTACAGAGAGGGGAAGGGATTTGAGGCAATATTAAGCTGTGTTACGTAGGGGTGGGGATGAGTTATTTTAGTGTTAAGTAATGCTGATATTTAATTACTAAAATTTTCAACATTCCCTGAAATAATTCCTTTTATTGAGTCTTATACTATAACATTAAAGTATAGAAAAAATAAATTAAGAAAATAAAATATAAAACAATTTAAAAGTTATGATGTATAAATTGTTTTAGTTAATAAAAGTAATTTTTCATCATTGATTGAATCTGAGATTATGAAGAAAATATTCAAAACTGATCTAGAGCATATTCTAGAATCCAATTAAATTGGTGCATTGCACTCTCATCCACATGTCATCTCTGACAGCACGTGTACAGCTTGGCAGAAAGTTTCTAGCCAATTCAGCCTTCGTACACTCATTATTTTTCCCCAATCTTTTTGTTACCTGTAGTCAGCATTGCCAACTAATTCCCACTTTAATTATCATAATTTTTTATATATAACCAAATACAATTAATACAAATTGTTTTACTGCCGTATACTTTACTTTTGTAGATGTGGGTAGGGGGCTGTTGAGCAAGCAGTATGTAATTATTTAGTGGGGCAGGAGTTCATGTTCACATTTTAGGGGGGAGCGATGGTTTCAAAATGTTTTAAATTTGGATTTGGTAATTGATGAATGGTCCCCATAGTGGTTGTTCTTCAAGACCAACTTTCTTGATAAAGGTGGCTAAATATTTTGCTTCTTGGGCTCTGCTGAAAGCAATTTCATGATGCAGGTGTCTTTCAGTCTTTTAAAACTTTGAAATAATACATCACATTCTTTTCTGGTAGGATATAGATTATAAACATTTAGTTTATTTTTTGAAAATATGAATGTGAAATAATTGTAATGTGCAGCACCAGTGATTCATTCCCTCTTTTTGTTCCAAACAGGATACAATGTCTGTAAAGAAACTACAGAAAACGAAATAGGTAATTTGGAGCTTACTGATACTGCAGAATTTTCTGCTGTTCTTTCTGGACTTCTTTCTCAGTATGGCATGACTGTAGATACAGAACAACAGCAACAACTTCTCCAACAAGAACTGGGAAACCACTTTACGTTACCGGGCAATACTCCATGCAGTGCTGTCAGGGCAATTGATTCCTATAACAACACCATGAATCAAAACGATGGTTGCTATGTGGCTGAAACATCATATTCAAGCTATCAGACAGAAGTGAATTCAGGTAGTGAGTCTTACCCCCAAGAAGGTCAATATGTTCATAATAATAATGCATTTAATTCTCATGTGCAAATCGGAAGAGTGGCGCCTGCTGATACTTTATATGACCCTGACGCTGCCCACTTCAGTAGATGTAATACATCCAATAGTCCTTATTGTAATATGTATGAGGCAAATGTTTCATCTGTGCAAGGATTTGAAAGTCATTCGATTCATGGTATGATGGGAATGGTACCTATTTCCCAGAATTTTGGAAGAGAAGTCATTAGGAGTCAATCAGAGCAAGGATGTCATCCTGAAAATTTTGTAGATGGTTCCATTGCCCATGGGTTTCAACCCAGCAGCTGCAGATCCAGTCCAGCAGAGCCAGGTTTTGCAACAGATTGTTTAAACAATCCCTCAGAACACAGATATAATCCTCGTAATTGTGCAAGCAGTCAGGGAGAAAACTTTCAAGTCAATAGCTGTTTACAGAATCAATCAAACCATAGCTATCGATCAAATGATTGTAGGATTTCCCAGGTGGATCATAGTTTTCAGAGCAGTGAACAGACGTACGCCAGTAGTGAATGCCCAGGCTCCCCCTTCCCGGCTCCTGTTTGCAGTGCAGAGGAGTTGCTGGATGCAGTAATTCATCAGGCCACAACCACTGCACCAGGAGTTGCTGCAACAACCAGGAATACCTCTGAGGAAGATATTGAAGATTTTAATTGGGATAAACTTTTATAACAATAATGCTTTGTCAAATAGTTGTGAATTGTTTGTTGTTATTGGGCATTTTATGAAACTTATATTTTACTTACATTTGAATCTTGGTTCAGTTTGTTAAACATATTACTTACATAATATATGAGAAGTTAAAACATCTATTTGTTATATTTAAGAATATTAAGTTTCTTTCTCTGAAACACTTGGTGGATTATATTAGTCTTCATATGACTTCAAGTGAGAAAGAAATTAAATGTTAAATTAAATGTTTTACTTTGTTAATATAATTACCAGCAAATGAAATATTTTAATCATTGTGAAAAATAGTATTTCTTTAGCAGTAAAACAACAATATTACATTTGAGGTTTTTATCATTTACTCAAAAATTCATAAGCGTGACTAGCTGGTAGAAATGGCATTTTACATTAGATATTTCATTTATAAATGTAAGACAAAAAAACTGTGATTATTGAATAAGCAAACATTTGGAACAAAGTACATACAACATGATCTGTGTTTCACTTAGTTTGTTTTAGATCGTTCATGTAGATATGTATTTTGTCCAAGATCTGCTGCCTGCAAAGATTAAAAAGTGCTGAGCAGAAATTCCATATTCAAGCTTCTCGGTAGAAATGCTAGAATTGTGTGCTCTCTGTTGTTAAAGCTTTGTTTTATAGCTTTTAATGAAAATAATGCAGTTCCATTTCCTCTAGATTTATGAAAGAAGGTGCCTATATGATTACATTTAGATCAAGCAATTTGCCAGTCTTGAAATAGATCTGTTTAGAAGTAATAAATCAGGAGATGTTTACCTCATTACTTTTATAGATTATACACGTTTATGTTTATTGCATGAACTGCGAAATATGTGAACCTCTCAAATAATCATGCAAGGATTATTATTTGCCCTTTTCAAGGTCAAATATAATGTGACTTTGTTAATGATCTCTATCTAGTAGTTTTCAATAATCTTAGTAGTAAAATGTTTTTACCTCATTTTAAGTTAATGTTTTTGACATTGTATTAACATGTTAATAATATGGTGTGTTTATATGGTTTTGCTCTAAGGATTATTGTGTTCCAACAAACTGTTCTTCATTCAGTACTTAAAAATATATTTAAATACTTACTACCTCTCTTATTCACTGTCAAGTAACTGAGTGCTGTTGTGAGTTAGTGAAGTGACATATTTTCACTTATTTTTATAATGAAAAGTGAAAATACCTCCAATGTTGTTTGAATTTCCTTTTAAATTTGCAGAATGTATTATTTTCATTCATAATACTTCTTTATTTACTTAATTTTTTGAAAAAGTGTTATTGGTGCAAGTGTGGCACCAATGTCTTCATACTTCTTCTTTTAAATCTTATTGATGTAAAAATTAACATTTGGTTACAAATTACAGTTCATTCACTTAAAGTGGCCAATTTGTCCTAATTCTTTGTTAGACAATGTTCATGGAGTGATAGTGATAGCTAATTTGAAGTGGTGTGCTTTGAAGTTTGCACTTCATGCATTGAACTTATCAATAAAAATTATGAACATTACAAATTCCTATTGCCATATGCTCAGCCAGAATGTAACAATTGTTTAATATGAATCAGAATAGTTAAAATAATTTTTACATACATGTACAAAGTACATTTTGTGAAGAGGACCTTTTGAAAGTGTGTTTCAGCAGGTCAAATGGAAGAGTTAATTATTACTGCTTATATTTGTGTGTATTGGTAGCATTGAAAGATGGATGTTTGTTGAAGTGATATGATAAATTTGGTTGTGCTTGTAAGAAAAACTCTACGATTAAAATTTTTTGTGAAATTTTAATTAAGCTTTATAAAAATATATGTACATATACGCTTGCAGAATATCTGTTTGTGTTTTAAACTACTTAATGTTGATTGAAGTTTGATTACTAACATAATGAGATTATTATTGTTGTTTTTTATTGTTTTTTCTACAAAATCTATAATATTCAGTTTTTATTGTTAGGGAACAAAAAATCTTATATGTAACATAGCTGTATATTTTGATTATGTGGTTCTCTTTGTAATTATGGTATACAATGTTTTAAGGTCTTTAATCATAGCATTGAAGAAAAGTTCTCTTTCTATTCAAATTGCACCTTTTTGTTGCCATACTGATGTTCCTTATTTCTTTGGGGTAAAACTATGTTTTTCCATAAATTATTCTACATGATTGCTGAATTTTGTACCTGATAATAATAATTTATTTTACCATAAGGGGTACAGAATTTAAGTAAAAGAGCAAATGTGCTTTTTGTATTTCTAAGGGTTTTTTCATTATAGCAGAAATGGTAATTGCGAGTGTACCATAATTTCCATTTGAAAGCCAATTTTTGTTTGCATACTTTTTTTTACTTTTTTATAACTGTTTAAAGGGCATTTCACTTTTCACCAAAGGGTAACATAAAATATTGTGTTATTAATGAAGTTTTAATAGATTTACAGTTGTAACAATTGCTCAAAATGTAGTATCTACCTAATCTAGAGACATGTTACTGAAAGATTTATTTATCTACTTATTGCTACACAATTGTGTATGCTTTCATTCAGCCTAATTGTTGTGATATTTAAGTATAAGCATTTTGTTTTCTATTGTCTTTTCCATTTAACATGCTTCTGTATGATTACCAGGTATTTCTTTAGAATTTCTACATTGCTGAATTTTATGCATGAAAAGAGAATGAATGTATTTTATGCCACTTTTGTTCAGTTGTGCAATGCCACCAGGACATGTTGTCTGGCTGTTTAGGGACCAAGCTGTAATGCACAGACACTCAGTGTATCATCCCATCAGTCATAGTTATAATTTTCCCACTTCTTCAAGCAAGACATATTGGACAAATTACATCAAAAGCAAGATAAATATATACGAACAACCACAGTGTGAACACTATTTGGTAAGCTACTTTCAGCATATCTGGATTCCACATTTCCTACATCTTAATTTGAAAAGGCTGAGATCTTCAGTTTAGACTTACGAACTTAAAATTCATATTATGGAATAATTATGTACAATTTATCATTGAATTCTACTTTTTAAGTTTTTGTAAATATTTGCAATATTTTAGGGCCTGTGAACTATTTCAGTTATTGGAGACAATTATGACCAGCCATTGCAGTCTGTATACTGTGGTTGTCTTCAGTTTACTTTACTTGCAATGTAGAAATTGTCCTATTACAGTGAAAAAAAGTATACAATGTATCTATATGAGTTATTTTGTTTTTACAAGTAATTGTTATTAATTTTGCAGTGATCCTTTAATAATAATTTAAAATATCAAACTTTTCATTATATTTTGTAGAATTTTTTGATTTTATACTTTTTCCTTTTTATTTTTTTATTTGCAAACTTTTATCAGATAGAATGTTCTATAGGTTCATTGCCAGCAAATTTTGCAGTGAGGCAGACTGTTTATTACCTGTATTGCTAACTTTTTTTGCTTATTGGTATGTCAATTAGTACCCACAATTCTCTCATTTAAGTAGGAAATGAATTTAGAACTTCACTTAATTGAAATCTGCCAACTGCTCTTGTATTTACTCTGAATCAGTGTTTGAAACGAGAAGCTGTACATTTTATTGTGTGAGTCTATAAGATATGTAATTAAAATGTTTAATGTGATATTGGATTGTTTCACAATGTGTTGGTAACCAATATGTTGTTCAAGGGATGATAATCAGGCGAATAAAAACAGCTAGTTCACTAGAAAGTGTTACTCTATCCTCAAAGTGTATCATAACAATGAAATGTTACATGTAGAATTGCACAATACAATGGACATCAATGAATTTATTACCTAATATTGTTTACACAAGGTGAAATCATTTTAAGGAACTAAGTGTAGAGAAATACACAAAAACAATTTAATATTTTGGAATTAAATAATTTTGTGGAACATGAAACCTACTGCAAAACATGATAATGTGCAGTATCTGGTGAATGCATTCCATTCATTTCTTATTTGGATTTTCAACACTCAACATCTTGAAATGTGCTAATTCAAATGTTCCAATTCAAAATGTCTAGTCATAAGATATTGCCATTACAAATTACACTAAAGTAAGTTCACAGATTATTGTAAAATAGCTAATTACAATTCTATAAAATGCATTATTACAAATTAATTTCAATCTCACATGCAAGACATTTCATCATCATTAATATTCAAATAATCTGACAACATAATTAATTCATTGATGTGTTTTGTAATGTTTTAAATTTAAATGTAATGTGGAGTTCTGTGAGATATGCCCTGAGGACAGAATAATATTTGCAGTTTTTTTTACCTGATCAACATTCCAATAATAACATACCACTTATGTCTTGAATATAATTTTCATTCTAACATTTTTTTATTTGTAAAAGATAATTTACATCTTCTTAACCCTCACTTTGTTATGAAGCTTTTCTTTTGATTTATAATTACAAGCACAAGAGATGTATTATTAAAAAGTAATGAGTAAATGTATAAACACCGACTAGTGCTTGTTAATAAAGATAATACTTGTCATTTCAAGCAGGTTGTGACTTGGTTATGAACATTGTCAAGTGCCTAAAATTTTCACAGTATGTTTATTTCTTATTAATATTTTATTTGTGTGTGAGTGTTAAAACAATGTTTGTTTGTCCCATTTCTTTAAAATAAGTCTTCTTTATGAAATAGAAGATTCATTAATGCTTCTTGAATATTGTATATATTATAAAAAATACTGTTTTTATACATACTTGTAATTTCAAGCAAATCAAAGGCCAGTTCAGTGATGTGCAATTTAATTTTTAAATGCCCAATTACACACTGTGGATTATTGATATTTTGAGTTTAATTTTATTTTTATTTTCCTGTCTATAACTGCCTGCCCTATGTCATTCTTTCTGGTTGATGGTGAAAATATGAGAATAAAAATTTCGGTACACAGTTCAAATCAAATCGGGGTTGACATTTTTTTAATAATAAAAATAATTCAAATCGCTTAATAATATAGATAATTTTGTGTGCAAGTAGTCAGCAGTGGCAGCTAGGGGCCCTTTTCTAAAGAGAAGGAAAGATAAAGTCGATTGCTTAAACTATTTTAAATGAAACCTACAAATTAGACTACTTGCATAGACTTCTGATGGGATAAGAGAGATAACTTTGTTCTAATTGCCTGTTCACAGACAGTTTGTTCAAGTAAGTCACATAATGTACGAGTCTGGATTCATCTTGATTCTTGCTGGCATGTGATATAACCCATGCACCATGATGCTTTGTCATAATTAAAAGAGGGGCCTCTGGTTTGCTGTTCTAGAGATCCGCCCTTGTGTTGTACTGTTTATTTAAAACATTACCACTTCTGGCCACTGGGGTGCAATGATAAGTGGACAATTAACAGGTGAGAGGGTAAAGGCTGATGGTTCATTAGAGTGATTTTGATCGTTTTCTCATTGGTTACAAGCACATGTTAAAAACGACCAAAGTAAAGTTCCTTATAACTATCAAATAAAAAATGAATATTTGTCCCCAAACAAAGAAGTTATTTTATTCAGAAATTACTAATTACATTGAAAAGAAGGAAATATTTGAAGGGGACTTTTCTTCCCTGGGAAACAGCCTCTCATACGAAAAGAAAAGAGGGAATTCTCACAAATTTACTTACATGTTGATGTTTGCTTATAAAAATATGAAACTAACTTTATTTCAATTGGTAGACCTAAAACACACCACTTGTAACATGAAAAATTCATTAAATACTTTTTGAATTATAAACAAGTGCTACAATGGCAAATAATTTTATTTACATTCGAATCAATTTCATTAAGGAAAAAAATCTCTAGCGTAAATACTGTATTTTTAAAACGTTGATTTTGAACACCGTCTGCCAGGCTCTGCTAGTTCATAAAATGGATAGAACCAGCCGCGGTTGCCGCTAATGCATTTTGCTGCCAGGGCGGCGTTGTCAATGAACGATTGAAATTTTCATTTCGCAGCTCAGCAATTCTGTTCACGCGGGCAACCACATGCAAGTGGGTAGAAGAATATAATAAGGATAATATATAAATAATTGAATGTAATATTGTAATTTTCTTCAAAACTGCTCTTTTTCAAAAGAATTACGACAATTTCAATGTCATTATACAATCCTTTTCACACATACGAACATTTTCTCGGATTTAGCGAAAACCACTCATAATTCGAAAAGTTGTATATGAAAAGATATAATATTGCACTGAGAAAGAAATTTCTAGCAATAATAAAAAAAGCCATTTATATAGACAGATTCAAAAAAACATTTATACTTTTTCATTTTTATTTAAAAATTACTCACATTAAAAAAGTACAAGACCTTAAAGATTAATTTTCACTTTCTCGAAAAGAGAAACGGTTCGAAAACAAAATTTTCGACAGAAAACTCATTTTCTGGCTCTGACAATTAGCAAGTTGTCCAACTTAATTTTTTGTCGAGTAGTTGGTTGTTCCTGACCACACAGCCGCCAATTCTTCCACCATTCTGCCTCTTCTTAAGATACTTTATCTTTGATTCTGCGAGACAAATTGTGTTGTGTTGGGATAACTTACAGTGATTCCAGACCTCAAAACGCTGATTCAAATGTGAAACTGTTGTTTAATTGGAAAGTTTTCTGCAGTGGCGTCTCTTGCTCAGTGAGCATAGGGATGCCATCAGAGTTTTATGGATTAAACACGGGAAACCTAAAGGTTTTAATCGACATGTACTATATGTTTAGTCCATAAATTACGTAACGCTAGAGAGTGACGGGGTTTGAGGTAGCTTTAAGGCCCATTCACAATGCAAACGTAAACAGCATAATGCATAGACGTAAACATTAACATAAGTGGTAGACTGAAGTATTCACGATTTCTAACATAAACGTAAACAAAAAAAGAGTTTATATTGGTTGGGAGACATTCTAGTTAACTATTGATTGGATGTGAGAATCGATTATGTCCATGGCACATACGGCGTTAGTTTGTCTATCGACTTCACTATTTCGATTCTCGATTTTGAGTTAACGTACTGTTATAGGTTAATTTCTTGTCTTACTTAAGTATAAGTGCAGAAGATAGAAGCTTACAAGCATTTAAGTTAACGCCTTACTTGTTAATCTTATGCGAACGCATTGTGAATGAGTCCGCTTATGGAGTAGTCCTAACGTCCTATTGTAACATTAACCGCCATGTTTATGTTTGCATTGTGATGGGCCTTAACGCTGCGTTACTTGGGGGTAGGGGGTGTTAGTCTAGTGTTACGTAACATTTATTTTTAATATTTCGACATTGGTAAAAAAGTTTTTTTTTCTTTCTTATGACAAACCATTAACATGAATTACTTTATAAAAAAACTTAAGTCAACTAAAGTTTTTGTGTAATGTTACAATAAATTGGGACTAGTTTTCCTATTTTTATAGAATCTGTAAGTTTACGAAAAAATCAAAATTGGTCTATCGTATATTCTAGAATCCAATAAAATTGCTGTAGTAGGTTGTCGCTCATGCGTCATCCACATGTGCACGGCTTGTAAGAAATTTTCATGTCTGTGCGTCCTTCCTTCACATAGTACTTGTTCCTAATGCTATTGTTACATGCAGTCATCCAATTAATTCTATCAAAAATTTTAAAATAGAAAACAAAATTAATACAAATTGTTTTTCTGTAATGTAATTTATTTTTATTTCTTGTAAATCGGGGGTGGGGTCTCAAGTGTTACGTAATTATTTAGGGGGCTTCAAGCGCGCGTTACTGTGGGGGGAGGGGGTATTCGAAATACTTCAAATTTACGTTACGTAAATTGTAATACTTTATGGACGGCTTCTTATATAATCTATAAAACGATGTACATACCTACTGTGCATTCTTTGAGAAGCTTTGGGAATTGCTAATTTTGCATTGTTTACTCTGCCAATAATAAACACAACAATAATTCATAAAAGTACATTGAAACATGACCATTACACATATTAATTGTTTAATTAGATGTCCATTTGCTGTTATCTTCTAGTGTACTTTAGAATCAAATAGAGGTTTTGAAATATTTTAAAGGACAGTGAGAGTTTTTACTCATTATTTCCTGTGCCATGTTACTCATCCACTTCTAGAAAGCATTTGCTCGCCATGTCACATCTTTTCAAATTGTTGGATTCTAATTAGCGCGTTACTGTTTCTAAACTGTGATTTTTTGTTGAAGGAGTATATGCTATACTCTAGATTGCAGTTGCAAGAAAAACTCTGCTTCTTCGCAACAACACACAATTTACGTGAAAAACCTGACAACAAACCAGTCGCGTGCGGTATGAGTTCAGTATCAGTACATGTCTCGTAAATTATGCTCTGGATCAGGACTGTTGGCAAACATGCTTTCGCATGCGAATGTAGTAGTGTGGTCAAGCCCCCCCCCCCCCC